CCATGCAAGGGTGCTCTTCTAGAGGTCCATTTACTTTGTGGTTATAGATTGTCCTCTCCAGTCTGATTGAGGACAAGAGGGAAGAAACCACTAGATTCATCTAGAAGCCCCTCAAAGCAGATGGTGGTAGTAAGACATGTATAGACAGCAGCCTTAAGGTGGAAGAGACCACCTAATCTCATTAAAGAGGAGGCAGGTAATGCAAGCCAGTGGGAGGGCTGAGTGGTGTAAGCAACAGGCAAACTGGGAAACTGGAACGTGTGGGTCTTATCTGAAGATATCCAAGCTCTTCGGTGAAAACCGAAGTTATGAATGCAATAAAAAAGTATTGCATGGTCTGATTGTGGGCTACATGCCTTACTCCTGGGCTGAACTCACAGACTTCAAGGGACACAGAGCTTGCTGGTACTCTAAAAGCAACAAGATTCACCCCCTATTGTGTTATTCCCCAATTACCCCATTGCCACAGGGCTTGCTGATGGACACACTAAAGCAAAACTCTCTCCTTTTCAATTGGATGAATATTAAAAATGAAAACAAAACACAATAAGAGGACAACATCATTTCTACCTAAGCCTGACATATATGAATAAATGTATATAACCACATGTATGTAAAAATTAATACAGTATCCTACACATACACAACTGTTCAATATTTTTGAAAGGTTTACTTAATTTTCTTTTATGTATATGAGTATTTTGCCTGCATGTATGTCTGTGTAACATATGTGTAGTACCCAGGTAGGCCAGGAGAGGGTGTTAGCCTAAAACTAGAGTTACAGACAGTTGTGATCTGCCATGAGTGCTGAGAACTGAGCCCTGGTCCTTTGGAAGAGGATTGCTTGCATATATATTAAATAGTAAGCGGCAATGTATAAAGTGGTTTCTCCGTGTGTAGCTTTCTCTGCTCTGTGTGCAGTTTCTCCCTGTGGAGTATAGTTCTCTGCTGTGTGTAGTTCTCTGCTCTGTGTGTAGTTCTCCCTGCTCTGTGTGTAGTTCCCTGCTCTGTGTGTAGTTTCTCCCTGCTGGGTAGCAGAAGATTACACTGAATCTAGAGCACACGTTAAAAACCATATTCCTATGTCTTAAAAGAAATAAAGAGTCACAAATAAGAAAATTGATAAAAAAATCCTTAATCCTATTTCCCTAGCTTTATGTTTGTTTATTGTAGGTAGCTGATATGTGTAAGAACAGTCCTCAGTTTCAATTTCGCTAAACCTTTGACTCACAGGGGCACAATTCTTATCAGTTAGCTAGGTCAGTGTAAAGGAAATAGGAATATGGAAGCTTAACCATACCCTCTCTGGTCCAGGAAGACCAGTCTTTCTTTTTTCTTTTCTTTTCTTTTTTTTTTTTTTTACCACATTTCCACCATTTCTTGTTTCATTTCAATCACTGCCTTGCTGAGCTGATCTCTAACTCCGTGAGTTTTCTGGGCAAGGAGGCTATTACAGAGGCATGTCCTAGGAAGCCTGTGGTGACACTCCCTCCTTAGGAACTGATGTTGCCAGCAGTTTATTTGCACACACACATAGTGATATGGGCTTCCCCAGCAAAGTAGTCAATCAGAACCACTGTCAGAGCAGCATTCGGGAGCCCAGGCAACCACAGTGTGTGTGTGTGTGTGTGTGTGTGTGTGTGTGTGTGTGTGTGTGTGTGTGTCTGTGTGTCTGTGTGTGTGTGTGTGATTAACTAGCTATATCTTACTCTTTGTTAAAAAAGAAGAATGGTATCAGACTTCACCTTATTAGGAAAACTAAAGAGGAGCAGGAAGGACACTATCAACCTCCCAGACCAATCACCTAGTGGGTCCTTTTATGGTTGGTTAGTGAGTTATTTAGTCACTACATTCTAGCAAGCCATTATTCTTGGGGGTAATTCATCTTATAAACTGCCTCTGGACACATTTTCATTGTCAACAAACCCACAAAAGCTTGCTGAGGGTCATGCTGCTTGTGAAGGTATGGGGTGCACGTGTGTTAGAACTGCCCCCTTTTGTGTGTCGGATAGTTTCACCATTTTCCTTTCTTTCAAGCTGGGCATGACTGGACACAGACCTCATGAGACTGCATTGGCTGGAGCACAACAGGAATTCATCCACATCTGACTAAATAAGATGGCTGCTTTGCCACTCTCATGGGTTGGAACTAACTTTTGTTTTACCGGCTTGCTTTGCAGCAGCAAAATACTTAGGCCGTAACATCTTCGATGTGGGCGGGCAGGCAGGTTAGATAAGAAGGTGCTCACTGAAAGTATGGTTTGTTGGTTGTGTTGGGAACCCAGAGCCTCCTGCATACTAAGCAAGCGCTCTCCTATTGGACATTCTAATCCCAGAATGCATTTAAAAAAGAAATCATAAGGACATAGCTTTATAGAGACCAAAAGATGTCATGGAAAGCTCCTTGTCTACCCTCTTCCACAGTGAAGCAGAGAAACTGAGCAAACACACAGATGGCTACACAGATGGCCAGTGGCTGAGTGGGAGGGGGTGCCCAGTCTGGAGGTTCTAATAAAAACCATTGGCCATTATGGGCAGAAATTTACCCTCTGAGGAGAAAACATTTCACATCACAGCCTGTGTATACACAATAGTTCTGGGCTCTGGACCTTATATGAATGAGTAATAACTGGCTGCAAGGTTCAGAAAAGGAGGCGAAAGAGAATGCCTCAGGGATGGGGAGTAAAGGGCAGTGAAGGGTTGCGATGAGTGAAGGATGGAAGGGGCTTCCCAAAAGTGCAAATCTGAGATGCCGAAGAAATTGCAGCTAGTGTTAGCATCTCGTTCTGACAAATAAAACTTATAAATGACTTCTAAAACTGCTTCCTCCAGCAACAAGAGCTGTTATTGTCACATTGATTTTAAAATTAAATGCTATAGAATTTTCTTGCTTTAATGAGAAGGCAGATCCAAGTGGTAAACAAAGTAATGATTAAAGCAATTAAGAGAATAAAAATGAGAACTAATGCGACAATACTCCTAATCCTTAACCCAAATAGGCAGCTTTGGCTGGCATACCAAGAAGACGCATGCTCATCTCCAGATGAAATTACTGAGAAGCACTGGCCTCTCTGTGAATATGCTGCCCTTTGGTAAGGCTGGGAAAAGTCAGTTAGCAATGTCACTTGCTGAAAAATCTGCCTGCACCTGGTTCTCATTTGTTCTCCAGCTGAGAAACCAAAGACAACTTTTTATTGCTTGTGGTCAAACAGCAAGTTCACTTCTCCATGGGATGATCAAACGGTCAGCCTCCCCCAGTCAGAGAGGGTTTGCCTTTCACTTTCAACTTGTTCAATCATCATTAACTCTGAAAATTGTCACATTCCATTTGTGCAATGAAAATTTCACCACTGGTGACCGTCTGGGTGAAGTTTTTGTAGGTGAGGCCCTAAATCTTGTAGAGCGTCTCACACATTCTCAAGGTCATTTGCCTTGTTTAATGACACCTGGGACCTGACACTGGCAACTTGGAAGAGCCTTCTGAATGTGTTACTCTCTGAGATGGGAAAGGACCATGGTGCGTTTTTAAATACCACAGTGTGAGCATATAAAAACATACCAACGGGCCTCTCTCTTTTGGATTTTTGTCAATCTGAAGATCTTAGTAAAGAAGACTGTTGGAAACGATCCATTTAAAAGCCTGATTTCCTCACCCTAGGAAGCCAGCTCCCCTGGATAGGCTGCAATGGCAAATTGGGGAGATTCCAAAAGTTTCTGGAAAGGAAAAATAGACTTCTTTTTCCTTTAGCTATTGGGCTTGGGAAATCTCTGTGTTCTCTGTTTATTATCTCATTGTATCTGTCTCTGCATAGGGGCTCGGACATGGTAGGGTCCTGAGAACCTGGTACAGGGCCAGATCCTGACAGGCAATCTCCAAATATGAATTTCTGAAAGTGGCTGTCAAGTGGCAAAATGGCCACACAAAGAGGTCATTTGATGCAGCCTTCACAAAAGCAGAGTCTGTGGGCCAAGACAAATAAATATTGCACTACTTGGGAAGTAAGTCACAGACCAGACTAGCTCCAGTTATAAGTCCTGATTAAAGTTTCAATGTCTCAACGTCAGTATCTACTACACAGTCTCCAGCAGGGGACTCTTGTTTTCAGGTTCTAGTTCTGGTTGCAGTTTCCCTGGGACAGCCTTGACACAGACATACGATTCTCAGCACATCTGTAATACAACCACTCTGCCTCACAAGCATTAAAATTAAATTGTTGCCAGTGCTAGGACTGGCAGGATTCAGAGGTAGGAGAGAGGGCAGAAACACCCTACTAATCACTTCTCTCCAGTGAGTCTGAGACCAGTCCAGTCCCTAGGTCTCAAGGAAAACCCTGTGTATCTTAAAACATAGAGCAAAACAGACTGCTATTTTGGCGACCGAATTGACAGTGTCACCTTTTACAAAAAGAAATCCTGGTGCAAGGCAATTCACAGAGAGGTGTCAGAAAGACCTCCATTCATTGAGACATGTTCATGTTTCCTGATTCTAAGTGTTTCATACTCGGCGATTGTTTAATCCTTACAGTGATTCCAAGAAGTGTGACGACTTAGCCCAGTGACAGAACTCAGGAAGTCTGGGTCTAATCCACCATGCTACACAGCTATCTTTTCTCAAGAACACTTCCAGGATGTACAACCCAAATGTCCCTTTGTGTGTTGCTTCAAGGTGGACAGATGGTATGTGGAGAGGGGTTTGATATGTATGTTCTTATCAAAGGAATTAACAATTGGAGATCCTGTTTCTAAAGTTCCCCTTTCTCCTTACTCCAAATTCTTCTTGTTTCCCCTTTGTGGAGGTCACTCTTCTATTGCTGGCTCCTGAGTGAGATGGTAAGCTGTCCCTCTTGGCATCTCTCTCTCTCTCTCTCTCTCTCTCTCTCTCTCTCTCTCTCACTATTGCTGTGCGTCGGGGAAGCTCTCCAGGGTTTGTGACTGGGCATAAAAGCAGACATCATTTACTCATTACGTCTAAGTTTTCAGGATGTGCTCCACTTACTGACCTCCACTAACGGCCTGGGTTTGCGCTCCACTGCAAACCTGAAGTGGCAGAGTTCACAGTAGCTGGTATTTGAGGATGACAGCCAATGCTCCAGGCAGCTCCGATGGATTGTCCCCAAGGTCCCAGTACATTCACATGGAGAGAGCAAATCCTCTTGGCTGCTGCCCTCATGGCAGATCCTGCACATTGGCCGGTCATTGAAGGGGCTGGAAGAGAAGGAGGGGCACCTGCTGGTCACTGAATAACAACCCACCGCCCTGGGGAGGGCCCTTGATTTGAATCATTTGGGCCCTACTCAGTGGCAGCTGCTCAGAATATAAACTGCGTTAAGCTCCCCTCTTACAGATATATGTGTGCCTGAATGTATTTCCTCTAGACACTAGGGACTCATGTCTTTTTGTGTGTGATGTCAGACACCATTGAGTCTTAATGACTTGACCTGTTAATTTGTTGAATAGATAAATGATGGTGTGTTCATTTCTATCAGTTTTCTTCCTTTATCTGTTGAAATACTTTTAGGTATAAACCTTAACTTTCTACATGGTTACCTAGTTATGTGGTTTGGATAGGAATGTTAGGATTTATAATTGTTTTATTAGTACTTGTTTTGAAAAATAAAGATGTGGTCCTCTTGCATCTTCAAAGTGATGAAGGACTTGGTATCCCTGTGATTTGTGAGGTTTAGATATGTCTATATGTTTTAATAATTTATGGTTTCTTTGCATGTGTATGTGTCTATATTTCCATGTGTGCGCACACATGTATATATGGGCACACATTCACATGTGTGTATGCAAGGGGCCAGAAGTTGATGCTGCATGCCATCATGGATGTTGCTCTCTATCTTATGTATTAAGGCAGGCTTTCTCTCTCTCTCTTGAACTCAGATCTAGCAAATAGATAAATGAGTCTTTTTAGTCAGACAGCTTGCACCACAGAGTCCCCAGTCTCCGGACCTGACAAGTGCTGGGATTACAAGTAAGCAGCCACATCTGCTTGGCTTTGATGTGGATGCTGGAGATCCAAACTCTGATCTGCACACTTGTGTGGCAAGTATGTTATTCACAGAGCCATCTCCCATCCCGCTTCTTTCTTTTCTAGATTTTCCAGCACCATATTTTTTGACTTGAACACAGAAAAAGTTCAGGCAACCACTAATCAAAAAATAAAATTATGGGCTGGGGAGATGCTCCATGATTAAGTCAACTTGTTCTTGCAGAAGACATGGGTTCAATTCCCAGAATCCACATGGTGGTTCACAAACATCTGCAACTCAAGTTCCAGGAGATTCAATATCGTCTTTTGATCTCGGCAGGCACCAGCCATACATGTGGTGCATGTACGCATACAAAGATGCAGACAAAACACTCATGCATGTAAAATACAATAAATCTACAAAAAACATTCACCAACAAGAATGAATTCTTTCAAAAAGCCTTTAAGAGCTGGGCGGTAGTGACACTTGCCTATAATCCCAGTACTTGGGAGGCAGAGGCAGGCAGATCTCTGTGAGACACAGAGAAAGCCTGTCTCAAAAAAGAAACCACCCCCAAAAGTTTTTGAGATTTTCATCATTTAATTTTACATGTGTGAATGTCTTTCCAGCATGTATGTATGTGCACCACATGCATGCTTTGTGCCCACAGAAGGAAGAAGAGGGCACTGGATCCACTAAACTGAATTTATGCATTATTCTGAGCCACCATGAGGTTGCCAGGAACTGAACCTGGGTCCTCTGTAAGAGCAATGAGTGTTTTTAACAGCTGACTCATCTCTCCAGCCCCAAGAACAAATTCTTTCGAAATGACATCAGTTGTAGTTTCTAGACAAACAGCATCATTTGAGTCAGATGAAGATATACGCGAGTTCCCTTTTCAATTTCTCTTTTCAATACCACAGGAGAGTGAGAACAGGAAATAAACTGGTGACTGACTGACCCTGATGCAGCAGACTGAGCTGGGCACAGAGCTGAGGTGTGGACGGCCCCTTGAGTTTGTGGAGATAATGGAGATAATCCCTAGGATGCTGAAGACACTACACTGCAAGTGAGTGGTGTCCTACTGAGGTGGCCTCTAGAGTTCTGCCTTTCAGTGGAAAAGCCACTCCCCCTCTCTTTCAACTACTCCTGAGCTACATATCACTGTACATAAAAACACTACAGTCTTTCCTGGTTAAGACTCAAAGCAAAGACACACACACACACACACACACACACACACACACACACACACACACACAGCTATATGTTTGCTTATCAACCAGCCTGTTCTTGATAAGCAAAGAGACTGATGCTTGCTAGGAAGACTGGTGCACATACTGCCATCCATCCTTGGTTCACAGAGGGCCAATGACATTTACTCAGAGCATACTCTTTATGTTCTGAGTCCAAACCAATTGCTGGAAATTCTCCAAGAAGTAGAAAACATGCACTACATATTTTTCTTTCTGTCTTCTGTGACAGCTACACATATTTTAAAGATTGACTTTTATTATCTTTGTGTGTGTGTGTGTGTGTGTGTGCACATGAGTACACTTGCCTAGGGAGGCCAAAGGTGTCAGCCCCTTATGCCCCCCCAACTGGAATTATAGGAGGTTGTGAGCTGCCTGGTATGGGTGCTAGGAAACTGTAAGTTTTTTCTTTATGAAAAAACAAACAGAAGAATCCATGGTACATGGTACAATGGGAGTCTATAGCTCCCAATCTGCCACAGGCAACAGCAGCATAAGAGGAGACCTTAGGGACAAGGAACTGGCTTGAATAAGTGGTCTCCAGGCTGTTCAGAGCCCTTACCCTTCTTCACACAGGGAAACAAGTTGTGACACTAGTACTTTACATGTCGGAGTTCATGTGAAGAGGCAGGGATGGGGCTGTAGAGTGAAGGTTGAGGATGACAGAACAAACATGGCAAAAGGAGACTCACCTAGGGAGACTCAGCTTGGACAGCATATCCACTGGGTAAAGCTAAGTGGCATGCACACTGGGAATGGTACTTTGAAAGTTTTATCCCCAAAGCCAGGCATGGTAGCACATGCCTCTAATCCCAATATACAAGAGGTGGAGGCAGGACCAGGCCTTTAACGCTATCCTCAGCTACACAGCGAGTATGAGACTAACCTGGGCTACTGGAGAACTTATTTCAATCCCACAAATCTAATCACTTTGGCTCAGTCACCTGAAGTCAGGTGACTTCTTCCTTCTGTCCTAACAAAGTGCTAGTTTTGTTAGCTGCTGGGGACAAGAAGACAAAACTAGCCACAGCAGTGTTAAAATAACAAATCTAAAGCCAGCTCTCCCCCATCTAGCTCTCTACAGTGGCTTTAGACAACCTGAATTTAGCATTGGCTTTATGCTCCTGCTGCTGCTGTGGAAACAGCAACAACAGAACTTGGGTAGTCCTTTTTTTTTTTTTTTTTTTTTTTTTTTTTTTTTTTTTTTTTGTGCCCAGTATCTCCCTTCTCTGACACAAAGACCTGAATATCAATTACACTCCCTTTAGCATTCTCCACTTGACAAACAGCTCTTTGGATCAATTGCAGATCCATTTATTTTAACTGTGGCACTACCTCTGGGTGGCAAGAGTCCGCACTACTGTTGACAGCAGCTGCCCGTCCTTGGCTGAAACTTGCATGACATACTGTGGCTGCCCATTCACTCCCCTGCCCCAATCCTCCCCAGTCCACAGGCGCGGCTGAGCTGGTGCAGTCTGGCAAGACTTCGGGCAGGTGACTGCTGTGGCTGGTTGTCATGGCAACAGACAGCAATTACTCTGTTAATGGCTTCCACATTCATAGAGGATTTCCATCTAAGAGAGATCAGAAAACAGTTTACTTGGCTGGATGGTTAATGGAAAATGGAGAATTATGGGCCACCAACATCAGCATGTGATTATTTAGTATAAATACTAGGGTAGCTTAGATGTGGCATTATTATCTTGTTACTATTTAACACAAGCATACTTGCATACATTTGCACACACAGACTCATACATACATAGGCCACAAGAGTTATGAACACCTGCTTATGAACAAGACAGCGGCATGTGTACACACACACATTCAGGAGCCCTGCTTTCCAGGAGGGGACAGAATAATGGCTCCGAAGCCCAGATCTGAATAGAAGATAAGCAATTCTCCCGCTCTGCACCCGAGATGCAATAAGTCTTTGTTGACACACTCTAAAAGTTACTAGAATCATTATTAAAACTGCTCGCAACTATTTTTTCTTGTAAGCAATTTATTCTCTATGCAGTTTTATTCAGAGATACTAAGATTAAAAACAGGGAGAAAAAAGGGAAGGGAGAGCAAAGAATTTGGCAAACTTGTACATTCTGGGACATCATTCCATCACTTTCGAAACTTGGCCACATCTGTGTCCTGTAATGCAACGATCTACCTCAAAAACCACAGATTAACTTCCTGTAAGAAGCTAACCCTTCTGAGTCAGTCTGAAACAGTTGTTCAGGCAATGATTAATTTCATGAACTGTTTTGTTTTTCAAATGGGTATTATAATAAATACATTAGCATTGGCCTTTCGTTTGTGTACCACTGAACATCCAAAGACACATTCATGAGTCTTGAGGAAACTTGCAGGATGCATTGCACCCATAGGTGATGTGACTTGGGCCACCACCCACTGTGCCCTGATCACCTCATGCTCCACATGGTTCGAGCTCAGTACATGGGATGGGTTGACAGATGGAGTGCTTGTCAGCAAGAAGTCAGGATCATCAAAGCTCAAATCCAACTATTGCAAACATTGTCTTTCCCCCTCCAACTTAGAAAAAGATACTTGGGATTCCTCCAGGGTTGGTTTCTTCCCAGATACTTGTCTCTACTTACTACATTTTACTTGATCCCTACAGGTCTGGAAAACAGGATCTTTCCAACTTTCACAATGACGTGCATCAGGGCAAGAACACAGTGTTTTTATTTGAACTTGAGTGGACAGTTTCCCTCCTGAAAGGTCCAGGTCTCACTATTTGAGACTTATCCTTGCTACTGAGGTCTGTGGCTGGCTTCCTTTTTTCTTGTTGTCAGAATGTTGCCTCTCTCTCTCTCTCTTCCTCTCTTCTTCTCTCTCCCTTTTTCTTCTCTTCTCTCTCTCTCTCTCTCTCTCTCTCTCTCTCTCTCTCTCTCTCTGTGTGTGTGTGTGTGGTGTGTTCCTGTCTAGTGGCCCTCTAGAATCTATAATGGAGAAATGGCTGTGGGTACCAATCCTTGGTCAGGGAGATGCAGGAACATTGGCAGTGGCTGTCCATCCACGTCATTTTACAGGACTGAATATTGAAAATTCAAATATACATAGATAGTTGGTATAGAGTATAGATTTGTTTTTCAAAAATAGGGTTTGTTGGGTTAC